GAGCGTGCCTAAAATGTATGTACTGTGCAATATTACACATAATGATGATATTACATACATATAATACATGATAACATGCAGCTGCCTAGCAGTACTAAACCCAGCAGCCCAAGCATGCAGCAATGTATATAACATATTCTGTAGTAATCTGACAATTATGGTAATGCTATAAAATTAGCTCACCGTGTGCTTTTGATGCATTGTAAGTGTTTCTAGCATTGTGCAGCTGTGTTCTGTTGGGGTGTCTGAACAATTATTACAATGGTGTCATGCGTGATGTTTGAAAGCATATTTTCCACCATGAAAGTAGAAAGTAGAAACAGTGTCATTCTCTATGCCAATGATGTCATGCTTTTTCCTTCACTCTGTGTGGTTTGACTTGGATTTTTTCTAAGACACATCTTCAGTTTACTTTAGAAACAGAAAATGCTTGAATTTTAATAAGTAGCCTACTTAGATCCTACTTTTATTATTAGATTATTAGAGATTGGGGCATTTGATTTTTGGGGTAGGAAACAATAAATTGGTACTTATGCTCTCAATTGTAGGGCTACTACATAGTTGCCTACAACCTTACATATATATAACTGTAATGAAAATTGTAAAAATACTCAAGTAACATTTATGCAATGTTATAATTGAATGGGCTGTGTTTAGGTGATCCCTTTTTGCAATAATTTCAGTATTTAATAGGATTTAATAAACACAGCAATGCATCTGTGCAGTGGTTTCTAGTTGTTTACCCCTACTTTTTTGGGGTTCCTACCTGTGATGTAGTATTTCAAGAGTCGGAACTAACACCTGCAAGTGAAGCACCAAATAAGTATGGCATAAGAGGAGATCTAGCAAAGTAAAAGATTAAAAATATAACTATATATATATTAGAAGAGTGAAGACAAGAACATGGATGAAGCAAGTAAGGTTCTTAAGTAGTAAGCAGCTGATGAGGTATGTTCATTAATTTCTATGCAGTAAAAGAAAGTGTAAACATTAAACATGTAGTAATGTTATGGTTATATTTTTTTCTGTGAGATATTCAAGGTGTACAATTTACATGCTATTAGAGTGTATGTAGTGTGTAAGTAAAGCTACACTTTAATAAGTAAATGCACAATTCATGGTTTAGCTGCAAGTTATGTTTTATGTTCATGCTAGGTACCTATATGTGCTAAATGTGACCCGTTGTACAGTTAAAACGGCATCAATTATAAGACATACACGTATTGCATTAAATTTTTTTTTTTTCTCCTTTAACACAGTTCTCACGGGTTGGTCTATCAGAGAATAAATCCCATCTTTAACCATGACCTCGTGCCTCGAGCTACAGTCACTAATAAGTTACCTCTGTACCTACCATGTTTGAAACATGAAGGTGCAGTCTAATCTATAATGTTGAAATGAGGATGCTTTTTGTGATTAACATTTTCCTCAGAGAAATTATATTAACAGCATAATTGCTATATCTCATAATCAATCTCATAATTAATACTGAAAAACATAACATTCAATTTAACATAAGTTCACTAAAACTGTTTTCTTTCAATACTTCTCTCTCTCTCTCTCTCTCTCTCTCTCTCTTATTCTCTGCACATCCACAGTCGATGCAGCCTTACTTCCTAATGAATGGCATTCATCTGGCACCCTGAGTAATGTCATTTTACAATGCATCATAGCAGCTAATAAACTCAGGATTGATTTGTGCTTATACAAAAACACATCAGGCGGAAACCATCACATCGGTAATAAATTGATGCTGATCTGGTCGTGGGGACAGAGCAGCCAAATGCCAGGAGAATTTTATTTATTTATATTTTTTTCCCATTGGAGGCTCCTCGGCGGGGCAATCGATCTCGGTGCAGAGCCTTTTGTTCTCTGAAGTAATAAAAGAGCATATTGATTTATTGGCGGGCGACAGTTACCTTTTGCCTCCTCCTCCTGTTCCGTTCCACTGTCGAGTCCCCGGGGAGGAAAAGTTTGGTCTGTATGGAAGCTGAAGCCCTCACTTTGCTACAGCACAATGCACACCGATACTGACAGTGAGATATAAAATCCCTGCAAAAATAAAATGCAAGCGGTATAGATCTGGACAAGCAGAGTTTTTTTCTGGAATGGGTGTTAGTCAGGACAGGGGGCTTCATTGAACAAATATGTTTGTTGATTTTCTGACTCAAATGATAAGAGAGGCCCAGTACTAATCTCCACTCAGGGATAAATGATCTTCTTGAGTTTTCATAATAAGTGTAAGCATCCATAATTGTGTAAATGTGAGCAGGAATTAATGCAGGAAACAAAGTGGCAGATGTGATAGCAGAAGTACCTGACTCAGCTAGATATCACTTTCACCCATGCCAATAGTACAGAGTGCAACTTCCCAATCCTTTGTTTTTATATAAACTGTCATTATAAGAGTTCAACCTAAATAACAGCTACTGCTTCCAGTTCTAAGGTGACATTTTAAATAAACATCAAATTTTACATATCTGTATCACCAAATTAGTCCATTTTCACTTATGAAATTGCATTGGAAATATGTGTGAATTATTTTTCTGAACAAGTTTTGACAAAATAATTCACACCTTTATCTCTACTCGGATGGAGTACTTTCCTCATGTCTTGATAAGATGCCTGTAACGGCAATGCTGAAAGGAACTGTTTTGAATTGATCCAGTTCAATCATTGATTTAAAAGTGGGGTAAGCAATTTTTAGGTATGGTAATTATTTTAAAATTGTATTTGACTATTAATCATATTTGAATGAATCCGCTAGCGGCTACAGTTGGGTGGTCGCCACCAAGAGATCCGCGATGTGCCATTTGACTCCACTTCCATCGTCCAAGTTATTTTTTTAGTAGATTTTAGTCTTGTTGTTTTTGTTTTAATTTCTTTTTAAGCGTAGCCTAGTTTATTCTGTTAAAAATAAATTTGGTTACTCCTTCCAATCTTCACTCACTGTTTAAAATACCACTGTTTACTGCTCTCCCCTGACCTAAAGAACCTTTTTTAACTCTTTTAAATCTAATTAATTCTTGATGTTTTAAGAGTCCTAGCCTCACTTACAAAACTATGGTGCAAGTGTGTCGGCCCCCTGTGTTTTTAGAAAATTTACTCATGGCCTTTTCCACTTTTTATGCAGCGCCAGTCGAAAACACAGCCCTGGCTCCTGTATATTGGGAAACAAAGTTGGATACAGACGAGCACACCACAACACAACACTCTAACTTGTTATTCCAGGTTTGGGTTTAAGTGATCGATATCCGTCAAGTGAGATGAATTTTAAGAAACGTAACACGGTTGAAAACATACATTTACGCCTCTAACATTAGTTACATTACTATGCTGTGTCATGTTATTAT